TTCAACCCCCCTTCCTTCTTCAAAATGTGGTCTCTCTCCTCGGAAAAGATCAAGAACTACCTCTTTTTTGCTTTCTTCCTCATCCTCCACAACTTCTTTCCTCACCCTTTCTCTCTCTTCTTCTTCCATAACTGATTGGAGAGCAAGTCGCCATGCAAGGTTCTCAATAAGTTCAGCTTGCATTTCCTCGCTCGTTCCCAGCATGTCAGAGCGGAAATGGGGAAAGTTGTGATCTACCACCAGAGGATACACTTGATCATGATTATCATGGGAGCTTTCCTTGACAACTTCTGTATGCTCCTCAACATCCTCATGATTGCCTTCTTCTTCCTCCACCTCTACTTGTATGGCAGCATAAAGGTTGTCTTGAGAAAACTGTGAACAGGCTTTCTCAATGACCTCTATGTGCTCCTTTATGCTCCGAAGGGTATCCTCTGTTTCACGGGGAAATGAGAAGTCAGTATGGGCAATGGCCTGGATATGAGGATCCATTTCGGGATTGGATCTCTCAGGTACTCGAGCAATCTGCTCCACGAGAAGCCTCAAGTGATAGTTTGGATCTGGCTGTGGAGTGTAGCATCCCTTTGCCGGATCGTCCGTGAAGGCTGTGGCAAACCCAAGATCTGATGGTCCTTCTGGTTGTGGGAGGAATTCATCTTGATAAGGAGATTGTTCTTGAAATACCCAGGGGTCTGATTGTTCTTCGTAGTAGGGGGTTGGTACTGAAACCCGACTCCATAGTCTTCTCCTCCTTGGTTACTCCAGGGAGTCTCGGGGTAATACCACTCGGATGGTGGTGGATACCCCCAATGGTTGGAGAAGCCATTAGGATCCATGATTCAGATATTCACCAACAAAAAAAAAACACCCAAGTGAAAAGCAAGGGTGAAAAAAAATGCTAAAGTAACAAACTTCTTCCTTTCCTAATAATCTAGAAAGTCCCGGCAACGGCGCCAAAAACTTGACACGCTAAAACACAACATCTAACAATGGCCAAGTGTAACCAATGAAAGGGACTGCAGTATAGTGGCACAAGTAATAAATATCGAATCCACGAGTCTCTAGAGTTACTATTACTCAGCTTCAGTTCATTATCTAGCAAACTAGATTAAGGATTGATTTATAAACTACTCTACTGACTACTCTACTAATTACAAGTTGGGAACTCACTTAGGTATGATTCCCCCTAGCTCCTCAATTAGGTCCAAGTTGCAATTACCTTTGGTTGATCTACTGTTGATTCAACTGCTGAAGATCCTAAATTAGTTTGGAATCTCTTATCTGACCAAGCCCTCTCAGACAGAATACCCGGCAGGCGACTAACCTTCACCGGGATAGACTGCTAAGGCGATTCACACAGATCTCCTCTACTGGAATGAATTCCAGTACAAAGCAGTAAATTGATTGACTCTCGCACAACCAATTCACCACTATCAATCAAGGAATCTCTCTTAACCTAATCAGATTCTATCTATCATAGGTTAAAGCAGAAATCAAGAGAATTTGATCAAGATTCAATTGACTGGATAAATCATGCCTCAATCGATTATAATCAAACAATATAGCATCCAAAACTTCATACAAGAAAGATCCTAACACATGGAACTAGGATTCCTCAAAACCTAAGTGAAGAGAAGTTACTCCATAGAGAAGAGAGAGACTGCAGAAATCTGATCTAGATCTTCAATCTCCATCTCCAAGTTTGATTCCCAAGCTCCAATGGCGAAGAAATCCTCCAAAATAGCTCCAAGAATGTTCCCAAGTCGCTCTCTCTCTCTCTAGGGTTCGTCCCTTGGGTGTTTGGGAACCAAAAACCCAACTCTCTCTCTCCTTTGGCTCGAATTTGGCTTAAAACCCAGAATTTCCCGACTCACACGGCCAGGCCACACGGCCGTGTGGCTTACCCAGCTGCCCGTGTGAGTGCAAAAACTCGGAGTTTCGATTAATGGGAAACCAGGCAAGCTACACGGGCAGGGGCCACAAGGCCGTGTGGCTCCCCAGGATGCCCGTGTGAGTGTTCGGTAAATCTCACACGGCCACATGGCTACGTCACACGGCCGTGTGGGTTTTTAGGTGTGCCCGTGTGGCTTGCTCAGCCTCTGTTTAATGCTTCGTTTCTCCCTCGTCCGGACTCTGAATCAGTCGCCGTTTGATCCCAGACGCTCGTAGTCACGTCCTCTTTCTTTTCATTACAAAATTACATGATTATTTGTCCATAATATGAGGTAGAAGTTCATTATTCCTCAGGTCATGCTCGTGTTTCTTCTCCCGAATTGCCAAATGATCTCCGATTGACTTGAAACTTGCGCCTATGCTTCATTTCACATGCTAAGACCTGAAATGTGACAAAGGAACACAACCTAGCATAAAATAGTCCAAGAAAGCATAAACTCAAGGCAAAATGATCAAGAAATGAGGGTGCAAACATGTGCAAATCCGATGTTATCACTTAGACTGCAGACAAGCTTCTTCTGTTTCGCCGACGCACAGGGAAGAACTTCTTCCTCTTGAGCCCTATAAAACCCTTGAAAGAAAATGCCCAAACCCAAAAATTAAAAGTAAGAAGGGAAGGGAAATCCATGCCGACTATCTTATGGCCATCTCTGTCATTGTCGTTCTCTCGGATCTGCGGCGGGGGTAGCAAGATGCAAGGAAGGTAGCCTGATGCAAGAAGTGTTGACTGAACTGGGATGGGAATGGGATGGACGTGGGTAAAGTTTGGAAAGAGTAAAATTAAAATGAGAGATTTGAAAATAGCTGATAGCCATCAGTTATTTTAAAAATCCACGTTTGAGTGTTTTAGAAATCACTAATTTTAAAATTCCTCGTCTTTCCAAACGAGTGATTCTATTAAAATCCTGCACCATTAGAGATTTTAATCACAATCTCTCATTAGAATCCTGCATCCAAACGACTCCTAATGTGCAACCATGAACCAACACCTCCCTAATTCAGAAACCCAATAGAACCAAAAATCCCCAATTCAATTCTCCATTTCCTTATTGTTTCGGAATTACACATATTCTTATTAGAGGAAGAGCATCCCTAGTCCCACTAATCCCTCTATCTTCCATCAACCGCCGCCGCTGTTGTCGTCGTCGCCGCAGACATCACCATCAACTATCTCGAGGATCTCCGCCTGCAAACCCAGGCCCACCGATGGAGTTCTACTTCCTCCTCTTCTTCAGCCTACAACCAAAGAAACCCTTGTCCCTTAACCCACGCCGCAACCTCTCCGTTTTCTCACCGTAAGATTAAATTTCAGACTAAAACCCAGATCGAATCCCTCGTCCCTTCCCCTCACTCCGCGGTTGACAGCAGAGACCGGAGAAAACAGGGGCGACGAAGTTACGAATGTACTCGCTCTTCACGCTCCCGTATCCCCTCACTGTCGTCCCCGCCGCTGCCGCTCTCTCCAAATTCATCTTCTACTATCCCTTCCTACTGTTTCCTTAATTCGGACGCAAAACTCCCTTCTCCACTTTTCCGCCACCAAAACCCGTCGGCAGAAAGACAAATAGTGTGAGAGAGAGAGAGGAGTTGACTTCTTGCAATAGCCGACTCCTCCTCCTCTGAACAAATAGCTCCTCCGATCGCGGTCGGTGAAGGGGAAAGAGGAGATACGATTCGTAAGGGCAGAGACAAACTCTTCCTCTTCGTGGCTAGGTTGGAGAACAAAAGATGGGGAAGACGAAGGAGATGATGAAAGATGGAGAGGAGACTGGAAATTGAAAAGGAAAAAATAAAAACAAAAATAAAAATAATATTTTCAAGTTTTATAAATTAATAATTAATTAATTAACTAATTTATTTTTAAATTAAAATATGACATGGCACTTGCGTGGCAAGTGTTGTTGAGTTTTCGTTCACTTGTGCGATGATTTTGCATCCTAGTTGGTCTAGTGTTAACCTAACTAAAGAAGTTTCTAACTAAAGGAGTTTCTAACGAAAATGACTGAATTTGTCACACGACTATCCAATTTTTTGGCTATTTTGTGTTTTCAGATAATTATGGCTATATTTGTCACGAATGTGAAAGTATGGCTATACAAGTGTATTTTACCTTTTTTTTTCATTAAAAGATTTGGTATAAGTTCAATAAACCTGTTATGAGACAATCCAAGTACCACATCGGACATACAAGGGAATGAACCCTTGTATATTAGAGTCCACCTAGCCCAATTTGTACGAGGCCTTTTGGGGAGGACACCCAAGAGTAAAACCGTGCGGGCTTGACCAAAAGCATACAATATCGTACTAATTGAGCTGCCTGTTTGACAAGTGGTAAAAGAGCCTGATTCGGTCAGGGCGGTGAACAAGAGGCCTATCGATACAAGGTGTCTGGCGAATCAAGATAATCGCTGAGGTGAGGACACGATGTTCGTGGTCCTTGTCTTGAGGGGAGGATTGTTATGAGACAATCCAAGTACCACATCGAAAATAAAAGGGAAGAAACCCTTATATATTAGAGTCCACCTAGCCCAATTAGTACGAGGTCTTTTAGGGAGGATACCCAAAAGTAAAATTGTGCGGACTTGACCCAAAACGGACAGTATCGTACTAATTGAGCAGCCCGATATTTTACAACCCCATGCAACGCCATAAAGTGCCTACTAGCCTAGCATCTTTTACCGTCGCCTAACGATATTGGTGGGTAGAAGAATTAGGTGTTGCTTGATCGTTTGCCTGATCGCTTTGCTTCTGTCGACTGGGCTTCGTTTGCCAATTCCGACTTAGATTCCACACTCTTGTCAATGCTCCGACCTACCATTTCTCTAGGCCTTTGTCCTATTCCCTTTAAAACTACAATTTAATAACCTGACACGAAAATAATTTCTATTCACTGCGGTGTCGACCTAGACGTTGACACCCATGTCTACTGGCAACTTCTACGCACGCAACAAAAACTAGCCAATCTCGACCCTTTTTCTTTATTCAACGTCTCCACCACGGCAGCTCATTTCTTTATATAATCACTGGAGAGAAACGGAAATGCCATCCCAAGCCAAGCACTATCAAACCAAACTGGCATACACTCATTTCTTTATATAATCATCACTACCCCAAAAGGCTTCTCATCGTATCACAATACCACATTCACAAAAAATTCAATCCGCCATGGCCGATTCTTCTTCAACCCCATCGACCAAGCTTGAAATCACTCACGATTTCCCTCCTTTCCTCCGCATCTACAAAGATGGGGTCGTGGAGCGCCTCATGGGCACTCAAACTGTGCCCGCCTCACTAGACGACCCCAAAACCGCCGTCCAATCCAAAGACGTCCCTTACTCCCACGACCCTCATCTCGTCGCCCGGCTCTACCTCCCCAAGCAAACCAAACCGGGCCAGAAGCTCCCTCTATTGATCTACTATCACGGGGGAGGCTTCGTCATCGAGACGGCCTTCTCCCCCACCTACCACAACCACCTCAACACCTTGGTCAAGGTGGCCAACGTGATAGCGGTTTCTGTGGACTACAGGAGAGCCCCAGAGCACCCCGTACCAATAGCGTACGAGGACTCGTGGGCCGCACTCAAATGGGCTGCCTCTCATTTTGGAGGCGGCCCAGAACAATGGCTCAACGATCACGCGGACTTTAACTCCGTGTTTCTGGCAGGGGACAGTGCAGGGGCCAACATTGTCCACCAGGTGGCAATTAGGTACGGGCGCGACAAGGTGGAGGGGGTCCCGCGGCTGGCCGGGTTGGTTATGGTCCACCCGTATTTTGCTGGGAAGGAACCGATCGGGAATGAGCCGGTTCCGGTGCCCGATTGGGGGGAGCGGTTCTGGAAGCTGGTTTGCCCGAGTTCAACGACAGGGCTGGACGACCCGTATTTGAACCCAGCTTTTGACCCGGACCTGGTCCGGCTTGGTTGCTCGAAGGTGCTTGTTATGTTGGCAGAGAAGGATTTCTTGAGGGAGAGAGGGAAGCACTATTTCGAGTTGCTGAAGGGGAGCGAGTGGAAAGGAGAGGTTGAGATGGTGGAGACTCAAGGCGAGCAGCATGTCTTCCACTTGTGGAATGCTGGTTGTGAAAACGCTGCCGTTTTGATCAACAAGATTTGCTCGTTCATAAATAATTGAAGTCACTCACAATGTTGATTTTGGTTTAGCATCAGCGACCGGTTGGCTGTTTGACGTTACTAGCTATTTGTCCTTTTTCAATAATGCATGATGTTGCCTCCTATGTCTTCTCTAATGTTGCTTTGTCTGTTTGGATGTATGATGCCGGCTTTTAACCTTGTTAAATTATATCGAATTGATGAGATCAATTAAAAAATTGGATTATTAAAGTTCTAGATGAAGTAACTTTTTATTGATACAAAATGATTAGTTCACACATTAACAACAAATTACTCTACTATTAACTTATTTGATACGCCATCTAATACGATTTTACGATTTTTACTTTCAAATTTTCTTATCTTTTAATTATGTATTTCTTTGAGGAGTTTTACAATGCTATATAGCATTGGTGCTATAGGTTTTTGTCTTTATGGTACAACTTGAAATTGTACCTTTAACGTTATGGTACAACTTCAAATTGTACCTATATTTTTTGTGCAAATTCTTTTATGGTACAACTTGAACTTGTACCTTTATATGATGGTACAACTTCAAGTTGTAAAGTTGTACCATAACATAATGGTACAAATTCCTTTATGGTACAACCTAAACTTATACATTTAATGTTATGGTACAACCTAAAATTGTACATTAAAGCACCAATACTATATAGGATAGTAAAAGTACTCGTATTTCTTTTCCTACGATATAATTTTTTCAGGGATCTTTTCTAGGTGTTCGCTTCCCTGCTCCTAGAACTGCGACTCTGGTTGTTTATTTTTCGCTTTTTGAGGCTTGTTCCTTGCTTCTACTCCTCTGAGGGGCTGCTTTTATTTCCTTGTCTTTGCTTCCTCTTGTTGTGGGTTCAATTCTGTTGAACCCTCTCTTTGATCTTTGTACTTTGTCTTTGTACATTGCTTCCAGCGTTATTTTAATATAATCACCATCATCCAAAAAAAAAAAAAAAAATCGTTGTTCCATTTAGTCACCAATCAAGTAATCTACATCTACATCTATCTACACTACTTATAATACATTTTAAAGAGTTTAATTTACTCCATTTCAAATTTCCTGCAATGAGAGTGAAAGTACAAAGGGTATTTTTGTCTACACAATCACTTTTTTCTTTCACATAAAAAGATATCAATGCTAGGTTGAACAATGGTTATTTATATGAAAGACAAGAATTATAACAAATTAGACTAGGCACATTTGTTGTCTTTTATTAATACAAAACATACAGGAAGTTAAAACACGAGTAGTAGCCATAATTGGAGCAGATACAAGGTGGTTTGATATTCTTCTCTCTACAAAGAATAAATATATGGTGAGCATATGTTGTCACGGGAAGGACAAACCAAACTCTTTGTGTTTGTAGTATAGCCTATTGAAATATACACATGTCTAGACCCGACCGATTGGACATCTCCACCTAGAATTTATTGACGGGATTTTCGCTCATCAAAACCACATGCCAAGTAAGCTCCTTTCTTAATCCTTCTATTTTTCTTAATCACCCTCATAGGAAACATATACAGAATTGTAATTTGGGTGCTTCGTTAGTGTTGTTTCCATAAGATTGTATTATTTGAGGTGGTTGTTCTAGAAATGTGAATCGTTATTGTATCTCCTCTAAGAAATTGGCAAGTTAAGCTATGAAAGAGAATAACCTAAGCTTCTTTTTTTAATTTAGATGGTAAGAGAACAATGATCCACGTCAAATTGATTGGGGGTTGACAAGGCATGAGAAACGATTTAGGTTTCTTCAGAGCAACACAAGATCCTCACAGTATCTCGACCAAAGAAATTTTTGTTGTCATGCTTGATGTTGATACAAGCTGTTTATCTAGAGGAGAGCTCCAACAAGTTAGCTCTTGCAGTTGCGATGCAAAAATGGGTAAGGAGGAAACGGTTTATACAAAAGACCATACTATGATCATATAGAACGTGTTGGTAGAGATAGCCGTCAATCTCATTTCATTGACAAAGCCACCGAGGAGAAGAATCGTCATTGGCACTCTAAAGTTTACAAGACTGATATATTGATCATTTCTTTCATTTCATGTAAATTAGTATTATTACTGAAGTGATATTACATGATTTACATCAAGCCATAAATTGAAGCAAGGAATGGTTGTTTGGATTAATGTGCACTAATGCAAAATGTCATGTAACTGCCACGAAGAAGGAGTAAGGGAGGACCAATCAATGTGTTTCCTGTCGAGAAGGATAATAATCGTGATAATGGAGAGGTTACATGACGATTGACTTATACAGATTGAAGAGATGGAAAACACAGAGTTTTAAGTAATTTGTGTGTTTAAAGTAGCTGAGTGATTATGGGTGATTTGGTAGGATTTCACAGGGGTATTGACAAAAATTGTTATATATTGGTGTTTCCATGCATATGTTGCTTGACTGTTTCTTTTGTTTGAATCTGAGATTTCTACAGCAAATTGCATGCTTTGTATTTCTTTTTTTCATTTTAATTAACAAAATGATCATCAGGAAAAAACTGGTCGGTGTATTCCATTGAATTGATATGGACATTGTTGGTTTTGATTTTATCAACCAGGGATTCATCGCCTTTGGTGTCACTATGGTTTTTAGTCTAAGGGCAATCAAGATCAGATTTTCTTTATGAAATCTCTTGGTGACTTCCATTTTCACCATCAGGAATTGGAGTCGGTTAAACATTCCTTTGATTTTTTCATGTTCACTCTAGAGGCATCAGGGTGCTTGGAAATAATGGATAGATTTAGGGCTAATGGCTTGGTTTAGATTATCCATTATAGTGTTTACGTTTTACTGTTTCTTTTGTAATGCAATGGGATAATGATTTTCCATCAAATTATTATGGTGTTATTAACCTACCTCCAACCATCGCTGAAAAATGCTAATGGGTAATATCATTCCGAATTAGAGTACCAATTTTCGAAGCTACGCCAGACCAAGAGGCCGATTAATAAGCTATTATAATAAATGATAAATATCACTCATTCGACCAACAGACCAAGTACAAAGCTAGTAACAAGTAGAGAGGAAAATGGATTTTCTACATCGTTCTCCTCCATCTTGGTCTAAATGTCAAAAACATTACCAACTCCATCTTGACCTACCACAAGAAAACACGTATCTATAATGTACAATAAAATCTTCACAAATCAACAATGGCTATTCTACTGTGTTAGAGAGAAAACCAATGGAAATTTTATACGACCAAATCTACAAATATATTATAGCCGAGTTGGAGGCAGTTTTTCAGCATTTCAAATTTCCTACAATGAGAGCGAAAGTAGGAAAGATAATTGTGTCTTCACAATCATTTTTTATTTTTTATTCATAAGAAAAAAATACATCAATCTCGAGATTCGAACAATGGTCTTTCTAAACTAAGACAACAACCATTACCAATTAAGCTAAATAAATCTTTTGTATATTTTTAAGTAAAAAATCTGAAAACCTGAAATCGAAACATCATACTACTTTTCCACTACTGTTAGCTAGCCCACTAACTTCCCGTAAGTACTTTCTTTGTTATTAAATATTTGAATTTTCATATTTTGATTATTTTAATACATAATAAATTTAATTTATGTCTATCTTATAGATGGAGGATAATTTTAAAATTGAAACTCAAATATCATTGCTTCGAATATTACATATTGAATTGCAGTATTAAATGTGTAGATGTGATGTAGAATTCTTAACTTGGTATTAATTTTTAGAATTATTAAAGCAATGATATTGTTATGCAAACGGTAAGTGATTAGTTTTTTTATAATTTTAATTTGGTTTACTGTTAAATCCTCACTCTCTTGATAATATAGCATGATTGGACAAATGTGTGAGTTTAAAAGAACACAATTTATGAATACCAATTTTTCTAGATGATTTCTATTATTTAAGTATTTTATCTTATATGATAATTGACCATATGTATCGTTTATAGTTAATTAGTTTAATATAAAATAACCGCAATACAAGACAAATTATGAAAGTCGAACTGGAGTTATCATGGATGCATTGATGTGGTCATGTGCATTAGCAAAGTAGGTACCACAAGATAGGTTTAATTTTTTTTGTTGAGTGAATAAGATTGTACTTCAACTAAATTTAGAGTATGTTAGTTGATAAATAATTTTTTCATTGCATAGATACTTTAAGGTTTATTTTCTTACTAATATTTTGTTGTTGTATTGTGCAAAATACTTTAAGTTTTAGATACTATTATATATGTATTGTTTCTCAAGCATAAGAAATAAATATTGAATAAAGGTTATGATCACGAGTTCCCTATTTATGCTACGCTTTTTTAGACACTTTTTTTTTTGTTATTTAAATTTTCTTTTCAGATTGACTACATCATTAAATTGACAAGCTATGAATGATTATTCACGAGTGTTATAACTAGGTCCGACCAAAGTCGTATTCCAAAACCGACTCTACAAAACCAAGTGTCTGATCATTAGAGAGGGAGAAGAAAAGATAGGGAAGGGGGAGGGGGAGAGATGCAAGAGGATGGTGGGTGGATCTTGAAATAAGTATGTTTTCTTATGGAATTTGAGTTTTTTATAGATATAAGTTATCTACATTTCATTTCAGTCACTAAATTTTTATCTTATATGTAAATATATTTAGAAAATGTGTAAAACGGCTCAAACATGTTTGGATCTCAATCAAACCATTAAACTTCAAACTACTTGCTTGACCGGCTCAAGAACCTGAACCGGTTTGACAACTTTGGTTATAACAATTAAGCTTACAATGTTCATCATTGATGAATAGTTATAAGAATTTCGAAAATAGATAAATAATTTTGATGTCACCTAAATGTCATACGAAATTCAGCATTTCAAGTAATATAAAAAAAATTTAAATACACATCATACATACATTGTATTCAATGACATTCCGACCAACGGGCGGACAACAAGCTAGTTACAATATATAGGTTTATATGAGCTACAATGGCTATTCTACTGTGTTAGAGAGAAAACCAATCGAAATTTTATACGACCAAATTACAATATCCCCAGTAATATATAGTACACTTTTGTGTACTTTTTTTCATTTCAAATTTCCTGCAACGAGAGTGAAAGTAGGAAGGACATTTTTGTCTTTACAATTAATTATTTATCTCGCTTAAAAAATATCAACATCAAGATTTGAACCCAGGTCTCTTCAAAGAAAGACAACAATCACAACCATTTATGCTGAACAAATTTGTTGTGTCTTTTT